AGATGAACTGTTAAATTATCTAGAATTAAGAATATCCGAATTCCCCCCCCCCCCCCAGAAAACACACTGTAATAATTCACCATGTTGTTTACATTATAAGAAAAAAAAATATATTGTGCAAAATTATGTATGTTTACTGCTGGAAAACTAGTGTATTATACTTCTCATATTAGAAAATCCTCATATTGTACAAATAAGCTTTAGTAAATAAAGATATCTGTCTGTCTGTCTGTCAGTTATCTTATTCTTACTGTTAAAACCAATTAAGTCCTGAAACCGATTAAAGCCACATTGACTACGTGTGAATAATACATGATGACCGGCAATTAAAATTACTATGAAACGTGTGAATCACGAGTGACAACATCTCACCTTGATGTAGCCGACCTTTGATCAGTCGGCTGTTTTCACACTTCGACTAATGAAGATGAAAATATGTTGGAATAACATGTATATTTTTTCATTAGGTGATGGGCACGTAATGTGATCTGAAGGCATGTTTGAGTGATATTAAGCTCATTACTAAGGCGTTTTTATGTTTAAAATCACACTCCATTTTCTTATAAATATTTGTATGTGTTTTTTCTTTCTTTTTTCCCTTTCTTTCCTTTTTAGCTCACCCTGAACCTTCGCTCATCAGAGCCGAAAGCTCAGGGTGAGCTATTAGTATCAAAGGGGGATACTCCGGCGTCCGTCGTCATGTGTCAACAATCGTCTTGTTTTCTGAAACCGCTGGGCAAATTTACTTCAAATTTCGTATGTAGCATCCTTGTGACAGTCAAACTTGAGTTTGCTCATGTCATTTCAATTGACCCCTTTTAGGGGTCAACAAAGCTAAAAAAAGAAAAACCTTTATACATCTTCTACTACAGAGCTAATTGATGGATAATCACCAAACTTTGCCTGTAGCATTCTTGGAAAGTCTTTTATGATGTTTGCTCATATAAATTTGATCGGCTCCTTTTAGGGGTCTTTAGGGCTAAAAAAAGAAAAACCTTTAGACAACTTCTTCTAGAGAACAAATGGATTGATGATCACCAAACTTTGTCTGTATCATTCTAATGTAGTCGTTTATCAAGTATGCTCATACAATTTGATTGGCCTCTTTCAGGGGCCGCTAAAGCTCAAAATAAAGATACCTTTAAACATCTATGTCTAGAGAACTAATAGATGGATGATCACCAAACTTTGTCTGTAGCATTGTTGTGTAGTTTTTCATCATATTTGCTCATATTATTTTGATTGGCCCCTTTTAGGGGTCTATAGGGCAAAAATAGGAAAATCCTTAGACATCTTCGTCTACAGAACTAATGGATGGGTGATCACCAAACTTTGTCTGTATCATTCTTGGGTAATCTTTTATCAAGTTTGTTCATATTAATTTGATTGGCCCCTTTTAGGGGCCGCTATAGCTAAAAATAGAAATACCTTTAAACGTTTATTTCTACAGAACTAATTAATGGATAATCATCAAAATTTGTAGCATTCTGGGGTAGTCTTTTATTAAGTGTGCTCATATATATTTGATTGACCCCTTTTAGGGGCCGCTTAAGCTAAAAATAGAAACACCTTTAAACTTCCTCTACAGAACTAATTGATGGATGATCACTTAACTTTGTCTGTAGCATTCTTATGTACGTTTTTATCAAGTTTGCTCATATAAATTTGATTGGCCCTTTTTAGGGGCCTCTAAATGTATCTTCTTCTTCTACCGTCTAAATATCAGTTCAAAACAGACATTATTTGATATATGAGCGGGGCAATTCACAGTAAAATATGTATTTATTACACGGAAAGATTTTTGACAAAATTGCGATTTTTTAAGATCAAAAGTTGTGAAATATCGAACGAAGATGAATACCATCAGTATATATGTTGTAATGAAACACGGGAAAAAGATCCTGTTTTCAATTTTTGTATTTTTCTAAATCTAATGAAAATTTAGGCGCATACATGAAGTTGTACAAGTCAACCACTTCTTTAAATTTTGCAACTTAAAACTCTAGATCAGAAAAACCTTTCAAAGTTTTCCAAGTTTTAATTGAATATATCGGGCATTGAAGAAATTGTACACGTACGGACGAGTTAATCTGTAATATTAAGTTTGCATTTTTTACCGTCTAAGAAAAAACGACTTCGGCAGATATATTCCTGAGAAAAACTCATTAAGTAGTTAAGTAGTTAAAGTAGATGAAATTTTCATGAAGTAAACAAAACCAGATGTCTAATATGCAATTTATTTCAGGTTATGAAAAGTTGTTTATTTTTTATAGAAATACAGATGAACCTTAACAATATGTGCCAAACAATGCACACTTTTTTCATTTACATATTTTTTTCTTATTCATATTGATGACACAAACATGAACATTTTCACGACATTAGCAAAGCATATAGTTCATATATAAAATTTCGGTCCTATCTGCGTGGTTTCACTGTATTTTTACAGTTTATGACAACACAAGTTAAGTTTATATAGACAACGTACCGCATGAACGGGAATATAAGGCAAAAAGTAAAATTAAAAGTAAAATAACCACATGTAAAGTTTATATGGTACAGACGTTCATTATTGAATCTAACTTGACTACAAATGGGTAAAATTGCACGGTAAATTATACGGAATTGCGTTCAGTAACATTTCTGAGAGAGTTTAAACCAAAAATTGTAATTGAACACAAAAAATGATATATGCAATAACTTTACTTTACTATTGTATATATTATAAAAGATTTGCGTACATTTTAATGGAAATATGTGAACTATTTTAGGTATGGATAACGTTGGCAAAAAGGTCTTTATAACGTATTATCCGATTGATAAAGAGGGCGAGGCCAAATGAAGAAATGTTGCTACTCAAGATTGATAGAACATTAAAAACGTCCCTGTATCTTCCGGTATCAGTACTGAAGATCCTTTATTCAATGATCTTTTATTTACGACAGGAATATTGCAAAGTTGGTGACAGACGGAGTTTGTTTCAATATAATGGCCATTATGGCCAAAAGTAACTTACCAGTCTTTCGGTTTCAAGTCGCACAAGTATTTGAAGAGTTTATGTTGTTTAAACTGTAACCATGTCTATCAATCTTTGATCAGTAGAATAGAACATTTTTGTGTAATTTACGAGTACAAGCTTAAGAGAGCCACCCAAGACACTTTTTGGTGCAAATATATCAATATACAACCAGTAATTCAAAAAGATATTTAAAGGTTAAAAATTATTTTTAACAAATATTGCACTCTGTAATTCTTAGCTCGAACGGCCTACCCCACTTTTATTAAAATCACATTTTTCTACTATGGACTCTTTATAACCATAATAATCAGTAGAATTATTTTATGATGTTCGGAAAAGAAAATATCATTTCTGTTGTATACACATAATCAACATTAAATAAGAATGTCTCCCTCAATCACTGATGTCAAAAAATGCAAAACTTCCAAACAAATTCAAGGAAGGATAAAAAACATTTGTATTGAAAATTACAAGAAATGTATCATTTTTATTATAAGTAACTATCACAATATTAATTTGTCTGTGTAAACACACATATTTTAAAAATATGCGACCGGGACATTGCACTGTGATCCAATTATAAAGCGAAACAAACACACAGGGAAATGTATGCAGGATACATGGAACAATGTATATAGCGGTGAAAGTATATTGCATTAGATTTGATGTACTTGCATTCGAAGGCAAGTCATTTATTTCTTTAGTCGCCTATTATGCAAAAATGTTTATATTGAATGTTTCCGTGTATTTTTTTTTAAAAATATAGTATTCAGCAGTCCGTTCATAATCGATAACGACTGTTAAGCAGCGTCAAGCAGATGTAGTTTCCTTTGACTTGAAACGAGCTAAAACTGACCGGTAAATTTCACCTTGAAACAGACCATACCATGCTTTTTTGATGCAATAAACAAATGGACTCGAACGATTTGAAAAAAGGGGAAATGTTTTTACAGAAAACGAAGAAATAGTTTAACCACACAAAAAGGCATTTAAAAAGTTTCTTCCTGATATCAAAATGGCACAATCAATAGAACAAAGTGGCGCGTTTCATATACATTTTGAATGCTTTGGATTTCTTGGTGAATTTTAATATCTTCACATCTCAGCTAGTTTCATCAAACATATAATTATTGAGTTTTAACAGATTATGTAGCGCTTCAAAATCGCTGAAGGGCGTCCTTGGCCGAGTGGTTAAGGTCGTTGACTTCAAATCACTTGCCCCTCGCCGCTGTGGGTTTCGATCCCGACAGGGGCTTTGGACTCTTTCATGTGAGTTAGCTATCCAGCTAGCTTAAGGAACGTCGGTGGTTCTACTCAGGTGCCCGTTCGTGCCTGAAATATGCATGGAAGGGCACCTGAGGTCTTCCTCCACCAGTAAAGCTGGAACGTCGCGATATGATCTATACTGTGTCGATGTGACGTAAAACCCAAAACAAACAAAAACAAACAAAATCGCTGTTCGTTTTGCTAAAGGAATTTCTGCAGAAGACGGTAAGACGTTGGCGTGTACGTTATACTAACTGACACGTCTGGTGCTTAAGGACTAACCCTAGGTTGCCCACTACGCATGCTGATTTTCATTTCTGTAAAGTTTTATGACTCAAAGTTATACACTGTTTTTGGCTACGAACAAGGGCAATAACTCTGAAAAAACTGAATAAATCCTCACACAAAACCTAATGTGCACACCTACATTTGCTGGCCAACCATTCTTCAAATAATTTGATTGGCTATGCGCAACACTAATTGAAAATAGCCTTTTTACATAGTCAGAGGCAATTACATTGACAAAATAGATTAATGCACACGCAAAAACCCGGGTGCAAAATTTAAAATGCTGATCAACATTTCTGTTAAGTTTTTTTACTATAGATCAAATATTTTTAGAGGTTGTGAAACAACATGAGAACAGACAAACGTATGGACGGACGAACAAGGCCTCCTCACAGACCTCTAAATGATATAAGATGAATTCATTTACCTTTCTTTGATTGGCTTGGCAACACCTGTGGAAAGAATAAGACATAGACTTGTGATAATTAGGATGATTGTTGATAAAATCTTTTAGTGTTATTTCTTTCAAAATGTAAAGCAATCAGTATTTTGAAATTGAAAAAAAAAATATAGATATTGCTTTCGATAAGACTGTCCTATCAACAGGGTGGAAAATCCACGTGATTATTATATGATCAACTTACAACAAAATGTGAGTCATATATGTACAAATTTAAGACTGTTCCCAAATTCTAAACTTAAGGACCATTTGTTTGAAATGCATTTTTACACAAAATACCTTGACCTTGTTCTATGTCATCCCAAGTTCCACTTAAACCTAGAGGATCAATACCAAATGTGGGAGACATCATCAATTAATTTATTTACTAGGAGAAATGTAAGAAAAATACAAATTGTCGTGTTAGTTTAACCAAACCAGATCCTATATTTTATAAAAGCGGGAGTACCTTTGATAAATGGATATCACAGTTACATAATATGACAATAAAATAAACTTTGTTATGATATCTTAACGTGTAATTTATAAAGGCATTAATAGAAATAGAACTTATGAAAAATGAAAATTAACAAAACAAAAATCAAAAGAGTTACTGAAAGCTATTTCTACACAAAGACATTGTACTGGATTGATTAAGTTATATAGGTTAATATGGAGTGATGAAAGAAAACCAACCTTAAAATGTGATTTTGAACTTGAAGGACTGAACGCATTTTTGAGCTTCCGACGAACTTTTTGGAAAATGGATTCTCTTAAAACAACTTTTCCGCTCATATCAGACCTAGCAGCACTAGCCCCAACAAGAAAATTTTCTTTTGCTTCTGTACCAGCCTTGGTGATTACAGATAAAACGTCTTTTTTTAAATTACAAATTTCAGATATAGCTTCACTTTTCTGTCCATCAATATCGTTTTTTGCCTCGGATATTTCTTGTAATGCCTGTCCCCCGACTGCTTTTATCTCAGAAATACCATCAGTAGTCTTCCCAGCAATGTCATGTATACCCTCTTTCCTGGCTGTGGCAATGTCAGATATGGCAACCCCTTTCTCTACAGTTAGTGATTGCTTTACCGATATACCTGCGTTCTCAACATCTGCCAAAGCAGAATCCTTAAACTCATCAACATCTAGCTTTAATTTATACCGTAAAGCTAATGCTTTCTCATCGAGTTTACGCAAATGTTCTGCTATTTTGTCGTCAAGTTCGGTTAATGCCTTATTTCTCATCTGAAGAAGTGATACTTTGTCTCCTTGGCTTATGTGTATTTTGTTGTTTTTTAACTGTAATGTAAAAGGCATATAGAAATGTTATATACTTATCAACTTATTGCTTACAAACATTGTATTTGATTGTCTAGTTTTACTGTTGAATAGATCTATCACAGTTTATACACCTCGGTCCGCTACAACTGTCGCTTGATCAAGCGAGGTAAATACGTAAAACTAATTTCGAATAGTCCTTTCTTCTTTTAGTATAGGAGTCGCATGCAAAAGATTATTAATGTCGTTTGTCCTGCTGTAAAAACTGTATTTTCCGGAAAAAGCTCCTCAAAATGTCTTTTTGTACTTTTAACAAAGATTTTCAGCTAAACATATAACCGACGAGCATATTCTCTTGACACTTTGAAAGATAATCATATGAGCTCCAAACAGTAAACTAATATATGGTGTACTAGCAAGAGCTAATTTTCTTCCATAAATAATAACATTTTTATACAGCTTTGAAGGCAATCTCTTTTGTAATTTTTTTTATATCCTTTATGTTTAACTTTTTTGACTGATTCAATTATCTACAAGCACATGTTTGCGGCATTTTTATATGTATGGACATGGTCTGGAAACAAAAAAGCATTACACACCTAAATGATGTAATGTTTTGCAATTATAAACCTTTTCAAATTTTGATGTTTGTATGTATGATGTTTTTAAAGTATTTTTTTAACAATTTTTCCAAACAATGTATACAAACCCCGTTTTTACACAATCAGACAATTGAAATGACGGTATTTTTTGGTAATTAACATACAACTGACTTTGTAAAATAAGTGGCACCTTTAATCAAACAAGACCTTTCCATAGACAGAGCACTCCAATTTGTTAGAGCTGAATAGTAAAAAGAAGCACCATAGAAAGGGGGCAATATTCTGAAAATGTGATCTCAGACTTACCTGCCCCAGATAGTCAACAAATACAGAGAAAAACAGAATCCCTAAAGAAAGCCCGAAATGGAAAAATGGAAAATGCTACAGGCTCAGTTTGATTGAGCCTGTTCATGGACGGTACTAGGAAGTGCAAGTTACCATCCACTCCCCGTAGCAACGGCTTTAGCAGAATTTGATATTTAAACACGAAAATGGTTAAATTTTGAATTAAGAAACATTTCAAGTTCAACTTTGTTTTACAAAAAAAAAGCAAATATTTTATGTCGAACGAGCAAAAAAAATGGGATTTCCAGGATTATCTCAACCCAACAAAGACATTTCAAATCTAATTGTAAAGAAGTACAGTAGGGTGAACGTTTCTTCTTACACGCAGAACGCACGCTGTGGAAAAAAACGCATGCATGTTACACGATAAAAGATCAAACGCTACACGCATGCTTTAGCAAATGAAGTATGCAGACACACGCAAAACGATTTTCTCTAAATGTTAAACGCTCTCTTAAAAATTGTTTGGAAATTTTGTAAAATGTCGATTTTTACCGACTGTATGTCATTCAGGCATTTTCAAGCATATTTTCAGTTTCAATTTTCAAGCATATTTTCATATTTTAATTCAAGCAAATTAAAGTACCTTTTGAGCTTTTTTCAAGAAAAATTCAAGTTCAAATATCAAATTCAAGGACTGTTAAACAAATTTGTCATTTATAAGCACTTTCTAAGAAATGGCCTCAAATTAAAACACATTTATACTAACAACCTTATATATATAATCAAAATAAATAAGTATATAATAGTTTTAACATACATTTCTATTGTAACATTATACATTTTTATTAGCTTACATTGAGTATTATCATATTCGCTAAGTATTAAATCATTTGCCAACAAATCTTTATTTGTATCTAATAACACATACACGCACACGCGCACGCACACACACACACACAAATACGTGCGCGAACACACACACACACGCACGAACACAAACACGCAAACTGAATTACTTCACTGTGAGAATTTTCCCCAACGACAGAAAAATTAATAAAGTTTTTCATAACTTCTGAGAAATTTTAATATGGCTCTAAAAGAAGTTTCTTTATCAACCAAGGAAAAAAAGAATCTCTTAATCAAAGAAAAGTTATTCGGAATGTCAATTTGTCCGTCAAATTTAACACAGTACACATAATTTAATTTGTTCTTCATATTCAATTTTGATTCAACTTCTTTATTCCATTATAAATCGATTTGATATACAAAGTGATTTATAAATACTTAGTTTCAAACTCTAGCGTTCAATATGAAAAAATATTATCTGTTTATCTATTAACAGTGACCATACTTTGACCCCAAGGAGTCAAATAGCAATCATAGACCAGTTTTTTTCCAAATAAGCTATGCACTTTGCTAACTTCTTTTCTTTTTGTATTTTAGCAACATTGACCTTGACCCATGATTTTTTTATTTTGTATTTGCTTCCAATTGTCTAGCCCCTTGATCAATACGTTTGTAGCACTATGTTAAATCATCATTTTGTGACAACTTTGCATGCAAGACCATATATCGTGTATAAGCTTTGTGTAATTAATATCATATTTCCCTTACTCTTTGTAAATCAGTCGTCATTTCAGAGTTATATACCAAAGTAGCTCAAATACATCCGGATGTCACCCCTTAAGTGGTTCAACGCGCACTTGCAATAAAAGCATATCTCATTTATCACATTAATAAATCTGATTTGTGCTTTAAAATTGTATATTATTATTATATACCTGTGTTAGTTTATCAACAGCTTTCTTTGATGCCTCATCGTTAATCAGACACTTTGGATCTTGAAGAACTACAATGAACGCGTCCAAATAAGAACACACAGTTGTTTCATCGATTTCAAGCTTTGAGCTATGTAAGATTTTATTTCGGGTGTCTCTCGCCTGAAAGAATTTGTATTATACATGTATGTAAAAGGGAAATCATAACACATAATTCCAATTATTATTTCGTTCTTTGCTTTTTTGTGATATATGTATATATGTGGTGAAGGAATATTTAATTGGCTTTAATTATATACTTTAATGATTTCTATACGTTTAATCTTATAATGAAGAACTGAAGAAAGTCTGCAATTCGAATCCATATTTGAATGTTTACCTTTTAGCGATATCAAGCAAAATTTATCTATTTAAAGTTATAAACTGAGTATATGATACTTTTTAAACAATTAGTAACTATTCAGAAATTATAGAAATCGTTGGATGATATAAAAATCATATATTTATTGTTGACCGTTTCCTGTACTTACCAAATGAAACGAACTGGCTAGGATTAATACTGGTCACAAAGTTTGTATTGACCTGTTGTTTATGATTATGCTAAGCAGACCAGCCGCATCTGTATCATTAGCTGATGTCCCTGGACCTTTAGTTGTTTGGAAACATTTTGCATAGCTCCACCCTTGAGGATCCGAACACCACGTACTTGGATCAGTGTTCTTCCATAATGGGTCTTTAAATACATGCTCATCTACAATTGCATCGTAAAATTTACTACATATGCCATCAGGGCATTTCCTTCGTCCAACTGGTCTGCTTCCAAAACAGTTGGTGGCCTGTTTTGGTAACATGTGCGTCTGCTACATGCCTTCGTAGAGTTGAAAATGATCTGGAGAAAGATTATTTTCCGTACATTGGTTGCACTGTTGTGTGGTGATCCAGATGGTAATGTCAAGATTACCTTTTTAAGAGTATTATCACGACATTGCAGTACCTTTTCTCCAACAAATTCTTGAAGACCTTCCTGTAAATATTCTAGTCCTTTTGAGCCTCGCACCCAATTCGCAAACAAATCTGAGTCCAATTCCTCACTTTCCATTACAGCATTTTTGAAACAGGTCAGTCTGAATGAAAATATATTTATAAATGTTATAATACAATTAACAATTTACAAGCCACTCTCCCACACAAAAAACGGGTATAAAACATCAACATATTTGTTTACAGTTGTTAAATTTACATGAAGTAAAATTTGCAGTTTCCATGATATATATGTGACCTAAAGGTTGTTATATTTCCCTTGATACAAATATAAAAACACCTGTTATCACACCCGTTAACATGTTTCGAGCAGGACAGCGTGATGCAGGTAGAACATTCAATATAAATGTCAGTTTTAAACCGGATTATCAAATTATGGTATTCTATTTTAGTCTATTTTTATAGACAAATTTTTCTATGATATATTGTGCAGCAATTGATTGCAGAATAAAAACAATATACCAAGCGCACAACTGTTCTTCCTGCAACCAACTGATCTTCTTGCAACTGGTGAACGTTTATATTAATCATTAAGGTCAACATTTACAAAATCAAACGTTGGAACGGTTTAAAATTACAGCATGATAAACATTTCAAAAACGTTACTATGATACTAGTCGGACAAGACATGTATAAATCATCTAGTTAATTATAAATGTACGAGCATGTGTGGTGATTTTATCTTGTCCCTAAAATGCTCAAACCACAATGTATGTGATAGTAGTTTAAATGTAAAAATTTGGATATTTTATCTACACGTTAAATATTACCAAGGTGACATAACTACTGTACGAACTTTGCATATAACTATTTAGGTTATCTCCCTTTTAGTAATATGTATTAATTAAAATGAGTGTGCTAAAAGCTAAACTCTATAACTAGGCATACCACTGTTAAATTTCCAAGTAATTAGATCTTTTGATATGTTTGGCTTGACAAGTGCTTCTAACTTCAACAGTGTAGACCAGAAAAATCTCCATAGTTTATTTACTATTAATAATTCGAGCACAGTTATATTATTGTATCATATTATAAATTCAACCTTTATAGCATGTAATTGTAACCCCGCATGTTTTTTTATTTTTTCCTTTGCTATTTATATATTAATATTTGAGGCTTCGTGCTATTAAGCAGTTATGTTTAGGTGATTGTTGTTCTATTGTTCTAAAATTTATTCAGATGCATAAAAATAAATATGTGAGAGTGGTTGTTTTAGGTTCAAAAAGAACATTATGATACATTGAATATGGAATAAAAAATACGTAGTTGATAGTTTTTCAATTTTAGCAGCTATTCATTATTTATCAGTTCTAACATTGATTTTTTTAGTTTGATTTTCTTTTATTTTTGACATACAATTAGATGAACCCTAAAAACCTATATGGGTTTAACAATTGTATTTTTACAGAGACTGTGAAAAGCCTGGTATTAAGCTTCCAGTAAAGACATTTCTACCGCATTATAGTAACAATATTGCTAGAGATATGGAAACATAAGTAAAATTACTTTACTACCACAAAAATGAAGGCCCTTGATAGTATACAGGTACAGATAGTGGCTATGACAAGCGCAGTAAGTGACTTAAGGGGTGATCTTAAAACGGTGCTAAGAAGATATAATAGAGGAATTAATGAAAAACATTATTGCATCTTTAAATTAAACTTTGATTAAAACGATTGATAGCACGGAACAAGATAGAGCGTTGGTAATGATTGAACGATTAAGCTCTCTAGAATTTGAAAATGAAAAAGTAAAAGACAGACTTAGAGATTTGAAAAATAGAGCGAATCAGAAAATTAGGGAAATAGAAGAGAATGTTAGCAAGAATTATTATGTAAGTACAGAGGCAAGCAGGAGAACAAATTATTTTTTGGAAGAACAATGTGAAAATAATTCAGATACCAGAAGACAAGGCTGATTGCGCGGAGATTCTTGCTTTATTTATAAATAAAATGATAATTTCAAAGGTATCAAAATTAAAGTTAAGGGTGTAAAGTATTTGATGTCACAATACGCAGATGACACCTCATTGATATTAGACGGTTCTGAAAAATCCCTCGTTCATACTATGAAAGTTTTAAATTTTATGCAAATATCTCTGGTTTAAAAATAAATGTTGACAAAACTAGGGCGTTATGGATAGGTGCAATGAGAAATAGCGATTTAGAATTATATCCGGAAATCGGTGTTAAATGGGACAAAGGTCCATTTAAATTATTGGGAGTAACTTTATCAACAAATATTACATCTATAAGTGATCTTAACTATCCTTCCAAGATAAATGAAGTTAAGATTCTTTTAAAATTATGGTCCAGAAGACTACTTTCTCCTATAGGAAATATCACAGTGATTAAGAAGCTTGCTTTGTCAAAATTAACTAACCTGTTTTTATCTTTACCAAACCCTAAATCCGATGTAATTAAAGACCTACAAAATGTATTTTTCAAATTTATTTGGAATGATGGACCGGATACGATAAGAAGAATAAAACTCAATCAAGTTAAATGTAATGGTGGGCTTAGAGCGGTTGACTTAATACATTTCATCAGTGCTTTAAAAATCACTTGGATAAGAAGACTTTTCTCTTCAAACACTTAATATGCTTTTCTTGTACAAGAATTGTGTCCAGCTCTTTACCAGTCGACCAAATATGGTACTGACTATTTGTTACAACATAAAAGTCGAGTAAACAATTTGTTTTGGAAGGATGTTTTGAATTCATTTTATTTATTTCAATGTAAGATTTGTTCAGGTAACTGGGCAGATTTCTTGTCCAATCCGGTATGGTTAAATCCTAATTTCAACATTGCAGGAAAATCGTTTGAAAAGGTGTTTCGTTTGTCAACGATTTTGTAAATGAAAATGGGTTGTTTTATAGTTTTCAAGAATTTCAAAGATTATTTGATGTTAGCTCAATCTTTCTTAAATATGAAGGTATAATAGTTCCTTCAGAAAAGCTTTGACGGATTTTCATGTAAATCAAAATGATATCAAAGTATAAAAACCTGATATTGCCAATTGCCATCCAAATACTTAACAAAAGTCGCAAAGGATGTCCCGCAATATACGACGTGCTGGTCAATAATAATCGTCAGACAAAATCAGAAATAAAATGGCAAAATGATTTTTCTTATATTTATCCTAACTGGAAAAATATCTACTTTCTATCCTTTAAAGGGATATTCAGGCAAAATAATGACAAAAATATTAAAATGATCTTTTGTACTCAACTCGCGCTAAAATGACATTTCTAAAAGTTTCAGCCTGAATTTCTCTTTAAATTCTAAATATTTTGGATTTGAAACATAAATATATCTATATATATTGAACAAAATTTAGACGCCAATAGAATCATCGAATAGTTTTAAAACAAGTCAGGTGACTTAAACAAATCGTTGAAGTTACAATAAAAGATACTGTGGGTATTGTATGATTGAAATAAGCAAAATCATTCATTTGACATGTTCTTTAACGTTTCCAGAGTTCAATGTGACAACTATTGTGAAATCCTAGCGCTCTAACCTGACCCACGCGGGTCAGGTTAGGAAACCACCATTTTATTCTTTATATGGAGAAAAGTTTTGTCCCTTTGGCTGTCTAATATATTCATTTTGAGGGCATTTACAGAATTAGGAATGAAAAATTGAAAACTAAGAAATGAAAATTTTGCCTGTGTCTCCCTTTAAAGTGACTAATGGTCCAAAACTTTTATGGCTTCAATATAGAATAACGCATCGTATTTTAGGTACAAATATATTACTGAAAAAGATTAAAGTTAGGGACAACGACAACTGTACATTTTGTAATGTCAATCCAGAAACCATAAAACATTTATTTTGGGAATGTGACATAGTCAACATGTTTATAAGGGACGTGTAGGGCTGGTTAACAAACACAATTCCAAATTCAGCTTTTCATTTTTTAGAACAATCTGTCATTTCGGCTTTTCCTGATTCACAGTTCCAGAGAATAATATATTATATTAATTAAAACCATTATATTTACAAATGTAAAATGAAGTCCGTATTGCCAAGATTAGAGGCTTTTAAAAATCAATTACTATTTTTGGTTAAAACAGAAATAATCAACGCCAAAAAAATTCTTAGGTTTGAAACAATGCAGGATGTATGGAACGAAAACATAAAATTAATCAATGAAAACGAAAGTACCTAACATTCTTAGCTGTAAGGAAATTTTGACACTGATTGTTGTTATGTAACTTAACTCTTTAATAATTGAACGTTTGTGCAGAGTAAACTTTGCCTTTTTAAAAAAATATAATTAGAAAATAAATATAGTCATTTGCAAATGTATGAATTTGTGTGTATTATTTCAGAACACTGTTATTACATCAAATTTCTAGTATTGTATTAATGTATTATTTCATGAATTTTATTGTTTGCATTGTACAATAAAGAGAAATAAGAAAAGAAAACTAGATGAAGATAATGAGAAACTGGCAAACACTTTAGAGCCATCTTGCAAACAAATGCCAAAATAATACTGAATAACGAAGATATAGTTGATTTGCGTAGAATTTCATCCAAGAAAAGAAATATTTGGCCAATCTTAGTTGAACTTAATAATAAAAGTATGAAAGTTATAATCAAGTTTAATCGAAAATCGATAGCGAAGAAGGGTAAAAACCTTATGGTTATGATATAAGGTTAAATCAGGGACTTATTTAGAGGCTGCTGTTACACCATACCATTGAAGGTGCATGGTTTTTCAATCGCTCTCTGTTTGGACTTACGACATACGATAAACGTATCAAATTTGATATATATGACAATATAATCAATGCAATAGAGGAATTTATGAACACTAAAGCAGCCTCAAAACTGTACATTATAATCTTTTATAAAGTAAACTTTTTATAAACATGGCCTCAATTACAATGTTGCTAAGTACATTCAGTAAAACTTGTGTTAGTGGACACCTCTAAAAAAAACCTGTTAATGAATACCACTCTTTAACAACAAGACATTGTTATAAAGAACAGAGTAATATCCGAATAAAGAAAACTTGTCTATTAAAGGACTTGTTTGGGCTCTCTTTCTTTTGGATGGCCTATGGTCACAGATTTGACTTAAACATGATAAGGACGTATTGTATAAATGAAAACAGAATGTTTTAACTTTATTTAACCTAGTTTTTGTGATGTTGTTAAACATCTTTTTAAGATTTTTTTTGTGATTACATTCATTTTAAGTTACATTTTTTCCGTTAACCATTCAAATCGAGGGTACACAAAGTAATGTTGATTTGAGTCTTGTGGGTGTGGACTTACCTTATCACTGGACAAGTCCATCTTGAACTTCATATGTTTCCCCCTTTTTTACTTATTCAATAGATTTTTAAGTGATAAAGTATAATAATCATAAAACACACTTAGTAAAGGTTGTTTATATCTTTATGTAACCAGGACATGAACTATATTTATAAACATTTCATGCTGAAATATGGTTTGATGTTTTATCTAGAAAGTGTTCAAATGACAAAGGTCGCTTGGTGAGGTTCAAGAAGAAACTGTTTTAACAATAACATGATAGAATAAACCATGTATGTATATGTAATTTCTGTTATAAATAGTATTATTTCTCTTTAATTTTACGTGTTTTAGGCAGTTGTATTGTACATTACACAGAGGTAAGTCTATTTATTTGTTTTTAATATCTTACATTGTAGTTCTAAATATATGACTTGTATTCGTAATAAAGTTATTATGTTCTTTATATTGTTTGTAGTAGTATATGCGCCGGTTTAACGTCATTACTGCACATGCACCGCGGCCATTCTGTTTTCTATTAATATTAACTTATTGGCATACAAGAAATGACCTCCCTACACATGCGCGGCGGCCGTGTTGAATAACAGACGTGCGACGTCCATTTTGGATTCTTTTTCAAGAATGACATCACCACGTTATAAATAGAAACAAGAATGGAAGTATACAGAGCTGACTCATATACACGATCTTAGGGCTTGAATCGCAGACATTGAAGGTCAGGTCCTCGGCCCTAGACGGAGAGATAAATATCATCATTTAAGAAAAAAATGTCTGTTAATAACTACCTGCTTAACATTTCAATTAATAAAAGAGTACAATTAAAAGTAAAAAATACAAATAGTTCGTGTTTTTAATATGGTCAAAATAAATAATATACATTGAATAAAAATAGTACTTATTTACTCCTCGGCGGTCCGAAACCAAATGACACAAATCATCAGTGTATTACTTCTAAATGCTCTGATCACGAGTGTATCAAACGTTATCATAGTCTCATAGTCGAGCGTCTATTTATTTAAGAGCGGATGCATTAACAATAGCCTATTTGACTGTCAAAGTTTATCCCCTAAAGTCGCCACAATGTCTGGCGTGTGTTTATTTAGGGACGGATATACTATCAATGGCCTATTGAAATGTTCAAGTTAATCTCTTTAAAGTAGCCACTATTTAAAGTAGCCACTCGGTCTGGCGTATGTTTATTAAGGGGCGGATATGCGGACAATGCTCCATTCAACTGTTAAAGTTTATCCTTCTAAAGTAAAAGCGGGTTAGCAATCAGCTATTCAAGTGTCAGTTTACCACTGGGGCACAATTTTAAAACTCATTTTTGAAAAGAAATGCCAACATGTTTTAAAAACTGATCATCACAAATGTGCAACATTATAAAAAAACTATTATCAATGGTAACTAAAACCGAACAAAGATACACAAGAAAAAGCGTTTTTCGTCTTTTGTGCAACATTTTACGATATACATTTTGATTTTTTTCGCATTAAATGATAGACCTGTCAGAATGCTTCGAAATAAACCTAGGTTCTCGATTCGATTTTCAGCCGTTCTCGAGTTATGGCCCTTAAGCGATTTTTAAACCAATTTTTCAAAAATCATAAAACACTTAAGTTTATATACCGTTGGAAATATCTCGGTGAGTCGATTCAGAAAATGTTCGGGTTAAGTGTCTAATATTATTTGTAATTGAGATATTTCAAATATAGACTTAGTGTATTTTTGACACTGATGTTAAGTTAAAGCGTTGTTGCGCTGAGTTGCTTTGAAATATTCAAACGAATCGGGTGTCCTTATTTATGGGACGATTTTATCCATTTTGGTATCAGTTTAAAGGTATTTAAAAGAACTTTCAGATGCTGTCGATACTAAAGTTCATACAGGAAGTCATTATCACTCATGCGTAAAAATATTTATTTTTATATTGAAACCATCATAATTCACTTATTTATGAATCGATTTTAATGATTTTCTATTCATAGGTCATGGAGTCATGAGCTAAAAATAATTTGCAATCAAATGCTTGAATAAACTGGCCAATCAGGAGAAAACCTTCATGTATAAAGAAATAGAGAATCTTAGATTTTTCTCATTCTGTCTTCAGAATTCTATCCCACAAGATGAACTATGATGATTTTGGGGCTGACAGACTTGTGTCAAGTCGACCAAATGGAACAAGCATTTAAGCTCAAAAACTACTGAGGAACTTAATACTCGGGCAGAACTTAAAAGTTACTTTTTAAAGAACTAGTTTATTGTCAATGCTTGCAGTAAGTATGGGTGTTCCTTTCCGGGTGTATAACTGTTATGAGGTCGATTTTCAACGCAAGTGTTTACGTAGTACGAGTGAACTGTTTGATGTATGGTATCCTCATGCAAAAGAAAGAGGACAGATGCTAATGAAACGTATTGGCAACTATTCGACACAACTGTTGAAATTATATTTTCATGCGAAAAAATAAAAAAAAAACATATCAATTTATAGTTTTATTAACATACAATATTCTGATACAGTAATTATGGTGTTAAGAGTAATGATGCATTTTGTCTAGTAGCTTTTGTCATTTGATGTTTTTCAGTTTCATCATTTTTGACACTACTAGGTAATCATTGAGCTTTTTTCGTTGTGGATTAAATTCTTTGACAATGTCTCTCCCATTATACATAAGATGTTTCTTGTTTAGTATCTTCTCAAATCCAACATCAGAGCTTTGCGGGCAATTTCCCATCGAGTTGAAAAATTCGTAAGGGCCTTTCGTAGGAAAATAAAAAGCCACCCAATGTTTTCGAGGGCCAATGCTCGTATCCGTATTGGAAATTACGAATTTTCCTTTTTGTTTGCGAATTTGTTCAGCCGCACAAACTGTTACTGATTTCCTCGCAATTAATTTTTAACTGATAATTGTTCATTTTATTATGTTAAGTGACTCAAGTCATTGTCCGTTCGGCGTTTCTTACGCTCCGGTATACTGGAATCTCTGTTTCGTTTAACCTCCGATTTTGCAATTTCAATCGCTTGGGCTACGGGGCTAACCAAATTAACTAAGGGACGCTGTACATTTTTAAGCTCCTCTTCCACTTATTTTAGCTTTTCCTCGGTGGCTTTGAGTTTCGCTTCTAGTGTTTCAACTTTTTTACGCAAATGGCCGCTACCTACAATGTAATGACCCTTGTGGTCGGGTGTTACGTAACCGTCCCTCAAATCTTTAAAATGTTGATACCATTTCCCTGGATCATCTTTATAAGGGACCTATTTCTGCTGTTTATGATCGTAGACTTTTATGGAGCCCATTGTAACGTTGTAAGACTGGCGATCCTTCTTACGCATTTTCTTCCTCATTGTTTTCATGGTTTTCATCATTAGAAATGTTGATGTCATGACTGGGCCATAGAACCTCAAACAGATCTTTTCTTAGTTTAATGGATTGCCGAATTGATTCCTTAAAACTCATATCGTGTTGATGTTTCAGTTTCCTCGCGGACTGGAAAATTTTCTGTTGAGTAGGGTCCTTTGGCAATACGTAAAAGTCAATGAGAAATTTTGCATAATTTTGTCTCAACATTTTCATCAAATGCGGCAACACATCATTTGCAGCGCAAGAAAGAGCATCACCAAAAGAGTACTTTTGATCTATGTAACTGTTTAGTCATTCCTTGAATTGTTCCTAATTAGCCTGTCTGAGGGGCTTCTGAAATCTTCGATCCCATATGTCATTACGTGCACGTTCTTCTTCTTGTTCCTCTTTTATGCGCTTACCAGGAGGTCCCGTAAAGAAAAACTTCCTTTTTATCCCAATATTTTCGTCTTCTGACTCATCTTCCTCCTCCTCTTCCTCATAATCTTAATCAACATCATCATTTAAAGTATTGTCAGACAAGTTTCCTTCTCCACTAAACTCATTTTCGGAATTATCCGCAGGCTGTCTTTTCCTAGCTTGACTTTCAAAAATGTTTTCTCGCAAATGGTCATGTTCTGGAGTAGAGGATTTCAAGTCTACCACTAAACAACCGTGCGGTCTCGATGTCACTCGTTCGAAGCGTTTTATAAAGATTTTATAGGATGAAGGATATATTCTTCAGGCTAACGTAGCCATCTGCTGTCTGTCAATAGGGTTATTGAACAATACTATGCGTATTTAAAGCGATATCTCTGCAGGCTTCTCCTTGAGGAAACAAGTTTAGAGTGAAATAGACGAAATATATGTTTCTGTGGTGACTGCCCTTGGTAAAAAGATCAGCAATTCTTTGATCGCATTTGGCTTCTGTCATTAAATCGTCAAAAACAATCAAGTTCCTTTTACGGGCGTCGTTATACTCTTGACTATTTAAGTAGTCGGGGAAACCATGAACAAATTATATCCCAGGTATTCTACGTTGAAGTTCATCATACTGAAGCTGCCATTGCCCATAACATTATATGATGCGCTCTGGTGGTGGATTAACTAGATTGGATAAAAGCAGTGTTTTCGTCCATTCAGTTTTTCCACTACCACTAGGCCAGGAGACGACCATGGAAAATGGGTGTTGAAATTTCATCTTTTCTGAAGTATCCATATGAGTAATTTGTTTCGATAAAGAATCACTTTTAACAGTGTCATCACTCCCATGTACATAACGTTGATGTCTCAGCATGACGTCACGTCTGGAGAAAGATTGCTGGCAAATAGAACACTGAGTCATTATAAAAGAGGTCAAAGAAGTCCACTGCGGTATTCTTTCATCTATTGATATGATCATCCTTCTGACGCTGTAGAAAGTTTGCTGTGGAATGGCGGTTGCGGCGGCGGCGGTGGTGGCGGCGGTGGCGATGGTGGTGGTGGCGGCAGCGGTGGTGGTGGCTGGCGGCGGCGGTGGTAGCGGTGAGGGCGGCTGAGGTAGATAAACTCTTAATTCATATAATCTTTCCGCTAAAATATAAACGGAAATGTGTGTTTACTTATCATACTCTACTCTTTTCGCAGTGTCATGACTGTGTCTATACTTGAAGTTAACCTCTTTAGGCTTATCCACTGAAGTAGATTCAAGTCTATGTAGCGAATTGTAGCCGTTCCATTGATGGAACTTTCTAATATCTAGGAATTCATAATTAGCCTAAAGAAGACAAATACTACTTCAAGTCATATATGTTTATTTTATATATGGTAACATATACAATTACAAAGTTATATATCAATTTACATAACGGGCTTTTATGTATGTCGTATTTAGTTTAAATTATTCTTCCTCAAGATATAGATTCTTTTCTCCAATACACTATAAATATGTTCAATAACTTAAGAAATTTGTTGTCCATTTTCGTGAACGAATTCTTTCATATTTGTATCGGATACAGGCATTGTATATAGAAAATTGGGGTCTGTATACTTTACACGAACCAGTAAATGTATAGGTAACAATCCATTCTTCTGTCCTATTTCTTTTGCGCGTGGATACCATACATTAAATAGTTCATTCTATGTAAACATTTTGCATTGAAAATCGACCTCAATACAGTCATACACATACTTACAGCCAACATTGACAATAAACTAGGTACCGCGTTCTTTAAAAAGTAAAACTATAACCTTTGGCGACCGACGATTTGAATATGCAGCTCTGAAACTGTGGAACGATCTGCCGTCTGGTGTGAGGGACTCGAGCTCATTGTGTTCTTTTAAACGTGCACTTAAAACACACTATTTCAAACAAGCCTAAGTTTTATCGTGAATAATCTGAGACAGTGATTTTAGAAAACTGTGTGACTACTATATGATATCAACCATAATTTTACAATTTGTTTTAATTCTGCTAATATTTTTAAGACAGTTACAAATAATTAAGGTGTTGATTATAAAATACATTATTTCTAATTTGGTGTTTTAGAAATTTCGCTAGAATAGGTTATCGTATGTTGTCGATATTCAATTATTTTAATTCTAAACGACTAAGTTAATACCACATTTTAATTGATTGTTTCATATTCTTGTTCTTAGTATGTCGTAGATTTATTATGTGAATGCTGTTTTAGTATTTTAAATTGTATTGCTGTAATTAGTTATTAGTTTTTATATCATTGTAAAACGGTAAATACCACATTTTAATTGATTGTCTCATATTCTTGTTCTTATTATGTCGTAGATTTATTATGTGAATGCTGTTTTAGTTTTTAAATTGTACTGCTGTAAGTAGTTATTAGTTTATATCATTGTAAAGCGCCTTTGAACATGTATATGAAAAGGGCGCTATATAAGTTTGGTAAATAATAATAATAATAATAATAATTTTCAGTTCTGCCCGAGTATTAAGTTCCTCAGTAGTTTTTGAGCTTAATGTCATAAATGCTTGTTCCATTTGGTCGACTTGACACAAGTCTGTTGGTGTATATTCAGCCCCGAAATCATCATAGTCCGTCTTGCAGGTTAGAATTCTGAAGACAGAATGAGAAAAATCTAAGATTCTCTATTTCTTTATACATAAAGGTTTTCTCCTGATTGGTCAGTTTATTCAAGCATTTGATTGCAAGTTCTTTTTAGCTCATTACTCCATGACTTATGAATAGAAAATCATTGAAATCGATTCATAAATAAGTGAATTATGATGGTTTAAATTTAAAAATAAATGTTTTTATGCATGAGTGATTTTGACTTCCTGTATGAACTTTAGTACCGACAGCATCTGAAAGTTCTTTAAAATACCTTTAATTTGATACCAAAATGGATAAAATCGTCCAACAAATAAGGACACCAGATTCGTTTGAATATTTCAAAGCAACTCAGTGCAACAACGCTTTAACTTAACATCAATGTCAAAAATACACTAAGTCTATATTTGTAATATCTCAGTAACAAATAATGTTAGACCCTGAACCCAAACATTTGCTGAATCTACTCACCGATATCTTTCCAACGGTATATAAACTTAAATGTTTTACGAACTTTGAAAAATAGGTTTAAAATTCGCTTAAGTGCCATAACTCGAGAACGGCTGAAAATCGAATCGAGAACCTAGAGTTAATTTCGAAGCATTCTGGCAGGTCTGTCAGTAAATGCGAAAACAATCAAAATGTATATCGTAATATGTTGCACAAAAGACGAAAAACGCTTTTCTGTTGTATTTTGTTCGGTTTTAGTTTCCATTGATAATAGTTTTTTTTATAATGTTGCACATTCGTGATGATCAGTTTTAAAAACATGTTGGCATTTCTTTTCCAAAATGAGTTTTAAAATTGTGCCCCAGTGGTAAACTTCAATAGCTTATTGCTCACTCGCTTTTACTTTAGAAGGATAAACATTAACAGTTAAATGGAGCATTGTCTGCATATCCGTCCCTAAATAAACATACGCCAGACCGAGTGGCTACTTTAAAGAGATTAACTTGAACATTTCAATAGGCCATTGTTAGTGTATCTGTCTCTCAATAAACACACGCCAGACATTGTGGCAACTTAAGGGGGATTAACTTTTGACAGTTAAATAGGCTATTGTTAATGAATCCGCTCTTAAATAAATAGACGCTCAACTATGTCACTATGACACGTTTGATACACTCGTGATCAGAGCATTTAGAAATAATACACTGATGATTTGTGTCATTTGGTTTCGGACCGCCGAGGAGTAGACAAGTACTACTTTTATTCAATGTATATTATTTGTTTTGACCATATTAAAAACCACAAACTATTTGTATTTTTTTCTTTTAATCGTACTCTTTTATTAATTGAAATGTTAAGCAGGTAGTTATTTACAGACATTTCTTTCTTAAATGATGATATTGATCTCTCCGTCTAGGGCCGAGGACCTGACCTTCAATGTCCGCGATTCAAGCCCTAAGATCGTGTATACAAGTCAGCTCCGTATACTTCCAGGAGATATTTTATATTCTTGTTTCTATTTATAACGTGGTGATGTCATTCTTGAAAAAGAATCCAAAATGGCCGCGCATGTGTAGTGAGGTCATTTTTTGTATGCCAATAAGTTAATATAAATAGAAAACAAAATGGCCGCCGCGCATGCACAGTCGTGATGTTAAACCGGCACATATATTACTATTTCTACATATAAAAGTTTTGACAAAATGGGTCGTTCATTGTTTGTAAGATGACCTGATACAGTTTGACTTATTATATAGCCATGCACTTTGATAATGGCAGAAAAAAGTTTAGATCTTAGAAATGTTACTCATGGTAAAAGTCCCTGGAAATTCAATAATTCTTTGTTGTATTGCAATAATGAATTTGCAATTGTTATTGATCTCAAGCTATGTTAAGACACTTTTTTGATTACGAAATATCTTTATTTAAGCAAGAGGAAAAATGTTTAACCAAATATAAATGGATTAGCAAGAACTTGTAAATTAGTCTCTTCAATTATTGTAGTACAATAACGCGTACAATAAAAACAAAAGATAACTTAATGAATTGGACAATCGTTCAAAAACTCATAAATTATTTAAACTAAAGTCAACTTATTAATAACAGTTAAGTCAGCCATATATTTCATATTTATGAGCTTCTTTTTCTTTTTTCTCCCTTTGGTTTTGTTTGTCAATTGTGTTATGTATGTACATGTATATATATATATATATA